GTCGGCATCTATGAAACAATTGGAAATATTGATCATAGTTGGCCATATGAATGCTCATATGCTCAGGAAAAGAATGTGGCAAAAACGAGAGCGAAGGCAGCTGCATGACAAAAGCTGAATGCTACGACACGCGAAGGAAGATGCATTAATAAAACTTGTGGACATATTTATCATAATTTGCTCTTACAGGAAGAATGCATAGCCCCATGAGTGCCTCAGAATCTATGGGCCAACTCTTCAAGTGAATGTGGCAAAATCAAAACTTGAAATTTGAGTTAGGGCACCTGTATGACAAGATTCGGTGAAAGGTACGTCAATGCCATAGACTGAATTATATGAAACTTGTAGAAAAATGTATCCTCATCGCTCACGAAATATGAAACATAATCATATGATTCACAGAAATATAAATGCTGTTAATTGATGTATATAATGTAAGTAATGGCTGAAGGCCTTTGTCGCTCTGGCTTAACAAAAATTGTTATTTAGAATTAATTCTTGGTAACATAAAAACAAATAAATATATATATATATGCAATTAATTTAAATCTTCTAGCGAATTTATGGCAGAAGCTAAATGCAATGAACTGCATGACAGAAGCAGAATGATATGACACATTGAAATGCCTGCATCTTCCAAAGCACAAGTGTCTAGTATTTGAAATACGCCTTTTACAAACTTTATGGTAAGGGGGTGGATTTAAGATTCTATCAAGTATACATAAATCTACATATAAAATTTGGCGACTCTAGCTCCGAAGATGAAGCAGATATAATTTAATTACTGAATCCCGTTAATAACGGGATGACTTATCAATTTCTTGAGAAAACCTGGCTATCCGCGCTGTATACCAGGACATTTGAAAAAAATTGAGCTCACTAGCTCTTATATATTCTGAGATCGACGCGTTCAAACATACGGACAGACGGACGGACAGGGCTAAATCGATTCTCGTCGCCCTGATCAAGAATATGGGGGTCTGCCACGCCTCCTTCTGTCTGTTGCATACATTTCTACAAAACCGTTATACCCTGTTTTCCCTGTTTCAATGGGTTCAGGCAATAAAAAATGGAATTCTGCAAAAAGTGCAACGAGTTGGACAGGTGATTTAAAAACCATTTGTCAGCAGGAGGCAGCAGGCAGCAGGCAGCAGGAAGAATGCAAAATCCGGAAGGCAGGGGGCAGCGGGCAGCTGGCAGAAAGCTGTAGATACCGGACAGCCGAGTGAATGGAAATGATGATTTTTGCTAGTATGCCTTCCAGAAGTTTGGGTGATTGGCTCGGGTC